CAGGGATGCCAGCCTTCACTGGAACAACTTGGCACGCACCTGGCATAGAGGGACTGCCGATAAGTTGCCAGCCCCACGTGGGAACTCTTTGTCATTCTGTCTGTCTATCTGTTGTTATTATTCACTATTAGCTCTTTATTACTGTACTATCTGTTTATCACATTAACCTTTCTGTTAACTGTTGTATGCTAAGCTATAAGTAAATTTGCCTTTACTTCACTCCTGACTCGCCTCCTCAATCCCAAACCCAGCAGCCTAATGGCTGATACACTCACAGTGCCTAGCCAGCCTGTGACGTAGCACCCAGCTGTGGAAGTTTGTTTCTTGCTGGTGCAGGGGAAGCCCAAGATCAGACTCCCTCTCCACTGGCCATAAGGCATGATGGGATCTGATTCACAATCCCACAGTCATGCTTCCTGCCATGCATATGTGGCACAGCAGGAGGTGCAATTGTGTGCATTGCACATTGGATCCCATTGCATCTTTACCTGCACATGTGGAGGGGCCCTAAAAGTCAGAATCAGTTGGGCTTCTCTTTACCTACTCACGCTCTTCTCAGATGAGCTGTCCATGATGAAAGGATGATTCTACTCCAGTTAAGTTGGTGTATGCCCCATAAGCACTCAGGAATTTACTCCCAAGTGAGGTAGGTAAGTACTATTTGGTATTTTGACAATAAGAGCACACCACAAAAGTTAGATAACTTACACAAACCCAGAGACTGTGTCAGAGATGGGAACTGAACCTAACCCACATAAGTCCCAGTTCCGTGTCTTACAAAAAGGGAAGGATGAGTTTGTGGTAAGAGTAGTTTCACTAAATGAAGAGGATAAGAAAAGGTGGAACTTTCATTTTCATGATAGGAAAAGGTCTCAGGCAAAGTAATGTACCGACTGTACAGCTATATTTGAAAGCTGTTCCTTGCTGGCTATGGCAAAAGACTTTTTTTCTGAACTCACACATCAAAGGCCAGATGTTTAAAAAAAGACTTGGCACTCTCAATTGGATCTAGATTTTCCAAAGTACAAAGCTCCAGTTTGGGGCCTTCATTGAAAGCAACCACTACTCTCATTTGGATATGTTGGGCGTGGAACAATTTTAAGTAGCCATGGAAATACCAAGACTCATAATTGGGAACTGCTGGGTGCAGGGTTCTTTTGGATATCTGGTTTCAAAGATCTATTTTTCCATTTGCTACATATGCTACCCAGAGACTAACTAGCTGATGTATATGGATACATTTGCCCCAGCCAATCTAAACACAAAATAGGAATAGGGAAGGAGGATCTCTCCACATTTAAATCACAGATCTCCTTTTATTTACATAAATATATATGAGTCAAGTCTGGCCATGAATGCAGTGGCTTGACAACACCTTTAGTAAGATTTGATGCCATCTACAGTATCTTTTCCATTTCCATCAAAATAAGCTACATTCTTTTGTGAACCTCTTTTCCGTCGGACTATAATAGTGACAGGGCCTGGTTTTGATCTTTTCCCAGCCGCAGCCAGAGTTGCAAACTGAAATGAAAAATGATGACAAGGAGGTGAGAAACTGGACACATGACATTTACCTTCTTCATCAGCAATCTATAAAGTCAATGCAATGATTAAGAAAAGTAGGCTTCCTATTGAGGAAAATAATGACTGCCCCTAGCCATTCAACAGCCAGGCAACCAAGGATAGCATGCGGTGTGGGTGGGTTTCAAACAACTGTCCATTCAGTTGTGGTGAGTAATGAGGACACTGACCTCTCCATGGTAAATGGAGGGTGGAAATGTCAAGTGTGGTATGCAGGGAGTATCTTCAGGACTCTAGTAAAGTGAGTAACCAAAGTGGGGTCTAGAAAGATGGTGTGGCCGTTCCAGGCAAGTTTTTACACTGATTTTATCCACTGCCAGGGGAGAGGTCACAAGCCCTCTCAAACTTAAGTGTAGAGGTAGAGCTTCCCCCCCCCTCCCCCCAACCATGTCATTTTATGGTGCACTGATTTATGAGAGAAAGATCTTTATGGGATTTCTCTCTCAGCTCCTGCTTCAATATCCACTAACTTTCATGTTGCCCAGTCTGTAGCAACGGGAATCTCCACATCCCTAGGAACATGTCTATGCACCACAGCTTGAAAGCCCCAAGTCTCCACCTTCAAAATACTTCTAGGTACCAGTAAAATAAAGGCACAACAGACTGAGTTTTTTATGGAAGCACCCATTCCTTTGCTTGCTTACCTTGTATGGTCTGCACCAGTGCCCTGGTCCAGCTATATTCACTGCACGGACTCTGAAGACATACTCCATGTTGGCTGTTAGGTTCCTCAATTCAATTGAGTTTCCTGCTACTTGTGAGAAGCCACATGTTTTGGGCATCTTGCTGACCACACCTGTGCTCTTTACTTCTGCTTCATGGATCAGCAGCTGGTAAAACCTGACCTGGTGGCTATCGAATGGACCTGTCCAGCATATCTGAAAAGAACCGAAAGATGCTTCCTAAGACCTGGGGATCTTGTAGAAGCAGGGGGAGGTTTTAATTTTGTATTACTTTGAAAGTAGATCCTCAACATCATCATGGCAATAGTACCAACATTTGCACACACTTTGTAAGTGTGGGAAATTGATATGCAGCTTACATGTACATCATCTGTCCATACATGAGCTTAATTCTCTTTTCACTTATTCCAAAAGGGTAAATTCATTGAAAAAAAAAAAAGACCAATAAAAGCACAAGAGATGAGGAGAATCCAACTTCAGTTGTAAAGAGTTTGTTAAATTTTTTGACAAATGTCTTAGTTTTTCAACATGGTCAACAAAGATAAGGTTTTTTGAGAAAAAAATTAAATTACTTTATTCCTTCTCTCTTCTTCCTTTCCATCATTTTAGCAAACATTTTTCTTCCTCCTCTGGAAAAGGGAGGTCAACATTAAAAGGAAAAGCATAGGAGGCAGTGAAACAATTTTTCAACAGCGAAAGTGCAAGAAAATATTTGTTAAGTGAGAAAAATTGATACTTCTCAAAAAAAGAAAGTTAGAAAGAAAGAAGTATACACACTTTTCCAGGAGGAAGACAAGAACCATGTCCAGGAGGAGGACATGAAACATGAAAGACATGAGTTGGTTGTATGGATATAATCAAGATCTGGTAGGAAGAGTCAAGGTGTGAATGTGGTTTGACTGAATATGCTGCCATACCTGACCATGACGTAAAAGCCATATGAAAAGAGGAGAGGTAAGTTCTGGGACAACAAAGAGTAAAAGGACCAAAGGAGAGAAACACATTTCTTCCAAGTCGTGCTTTCCTGTAAAGTATCTTGTTTTTCATTCAGAAAGAGGATGGAAGTAATTTAATTTCCCTCCCACCATAGTACCACAGCCAAAAAGGTGCCTTGCCAAACTCTCCACAGTACTGAACTTTTCATTGTGAAAACAACATCACTACCCACTACAGCCAGCCACCCTCAACTACCATCGGCATGCTTCTTTGCACATTACATATGTGGGATGAGAGGGATTACAGAACAAAATTAAAAATACTCTAGAGGAGAGGCGGGAGAGGGTGTTCCTCAAAGTTAAAGGTTTCAGTGGGGCAAGTTGTAATGGGGGCTGTGATATTCTGAACCAAACTAGAACAAAAGCAAATATCAAATTAATGAAATCTCATTTGGGATGGGAACTCCATCTTTCAACCAACTCCAGTGGATGGTGTCCAGAAGATTAACAGGCTTTTCAAAGGAAACTCCAGCTGGTGTTTGCTTTACCCCATGATTCAGTAAGTGCTAGAGGCGCACCAGATTGACTGTGTTGAAGTAAATACACAACCTATTTCCCCCCATTCTCCAACCAAGGCACTCCATATTCTCATACCATTAAACAGGGAAAGAAAGAGAGGGCTGACTGAACGGTAGAACAAAAAAAAAAATCCAGAGCATCTCATCACACTCATTCAATTTTCCCCAATAGCCTGAAAAGCAGAAAAAAGCAAAAACCACTCAACCCATGCAGTAGTACTGGTCACATGGTGCTCACAAACAAAGGGCAGTTCAGGCAGTTCCTGGGGCAATATTGAATCTGACTGCTTGCCCGATTCGTTAGCATCATGCACATCATCCAAACCCATGGGGATGACAGGCAGCTGCTCGTTGGGCTCACGGGACTCTGTTTCCATCTCCACATTCGGCAAGCTAGAGCTGAGACCACCCATTGTGGCAAATAATCCTTGCTGTAAGTGACAGCCAGCAAGCAGACCATGGATATTATCCCACTTCTTGGTGGTCACATTGCCATGAAGTGATGCGCTGCTCTCTGTTCTTCCCCACATTGGGCTGGTGGATTGATGATAAGAGTAACCCTCCATGTCATCCAGAAGCATCCTAACAGAAGATAGAAGGAAGTGTCAGGCTCCCCTGTATTAGCAGGCAGAAGTCTAGGGGATAAAGCCTTTTCTTCTACCAGTATATAGTATGCGACTGCAACCTAAGGCTTGGTATACTCCTAAACCACAAAATGAAAGCCTAAGTCACTGGAACCCCCCTGAGGAAGAAAGATGGGAAGGAAGTGCAAGGATGGGGGAAGAGGTCACCATTTGCAGTGGGCTACCAAACAGCTGAAGCACAGCCTGCAATTTCATCCCCCCCTCCCCAGTGGAGGACAGTCATACCGACAGAAGGCCTGGCATAAACGGGTGCTGTTTCAATATTTTCTCCCACATATATAAAGCCTATGTATGCCAATGAATAAAAATAGTGAATAGCAAATATCTAGCCTTTGACACACTTCTTACTCCCAGTAACAATGGGATACTTTGAAATAATTCTGGGTAGCATATTACAGTCAATGGGGAGACTTTACAACTAAGGTGCTAACCCAATACTGGTAAGCCTATTTCATTCAGGCCCTAAGTGCCTCTGCCATGGGGCAGAGAGCTTCTTACTCTGTCCCTTGTGCAATACTGTAATTGCTAGCAACTCCAATCCTCATAAAGGATGTCCGTGGGGAAATTTTGCAACTCATCCAGTTACAAGCAACATCTTAGATAACTAGCTGGGTCTTAAGTGAAAAATCCAGGCACTCAGATAGCCTTACTTACATCTAAGAGAGCTGTTTTCACCCCGTTCTGGGCTCGCAACTCTACCCTTTTCTGATTAGCCCCACAGAAATGCAATCATCACACTTATTAGAGCTGGAACCCACTTGGGAGTCCCTTGATTTGGGAGACCCCAGAATGAAAGCCAATGGTTTATATGCATTTGATGCTGAAAATATAATTACAGAAGGATGGCTCTGTACCTTAGCACAGTACTCACCATTTCCAAAACAAGAAAACAAAGATCACCAGCCCTAATAGAAAGTCTGAAGCAACGTTCTTGATTACCATTATTCTTTCTCCTGGCCTAAACTCAAATGAGTGTCCACAGGCAGACCCAGGATTTGGCAAAGGGGAGTGCGGGAGTAACCACCCACCCTGCAGAGGTGGCTGCTTTCCTTGGTCCCAGCCTCCCCTCCCCACCCACTGAGTATACAGGCAGACTGTACCATTGGAGCCTCTGGGGATTTGTTTACAGTTCCTAAAGCATGTAAGAATCCCCTCTCCCTTCTCCCCAGTGCTCAAAGGCATGTCCCCTCCCTGCCTGCCACTTTCCCCACAGTCTTGGGGGAAGGGGAAGCTGCAAAGCTGCTTCTGCCTGCTCTACCTGGACTGTGCAGAGGCTGGGTTCAGCAGCAGCAGTGACAGGTGGGGGGTTAGAGGGAGGGAGGAGAAGTGGGCTTTCCCACCCCATGCCTGCTCTCGGGGGACCAGACAGGGTAGGGAAACCCACCCACTGGCCATCTCTACTGCTGCCATTATCCCCTACTGAGTCCCATCCCCACAGAGTCTGGCTGGAGCAGGCAGGAGTAGATTTGGGCTTCCCCTGCCCCCTAGGGCAGCAGGGAAAGCAGAGGCAGATGGGGGAAGAGGAGGGGCCATGCCTTTGAGAACAGAGGGGAACCCTTATGTATCTTGGGGACTTGAAAAAACTCCCCAGAGGCTCCCATGGCACAGTCCAGTCCAAAAGGGTGGCAGCCATGCCACTGCAACCCCCATGGGGACATTTCTGGGAGCATGTGCAACTGCCAGGCACTAAAAGTAACCACAGCAAGCCATGGTGACCCAAACACTGCCCCAGTAATCACCATAGTCAAAGGAATCTGATTTCAGGCACTCTACAAGCAGAATCCACATGCACACGACCTTAAAGGAAAAGGCATCAAGAGGCAAGTGCCAACCAAACACCCCAGCAGGGCAACAACCAAAGTGAAGATTGTGTAACCAGTCACCACAACATAAGCCTCATGTCTGGGAGATCGACTGTATCCATGTGTTCAAAGGGAACATTGGTCTTTTTAGAAAGACACAAGAACCCTGTTCCACTTAAAGAATTCCCATGAGCACATAATTAAACCACTTGATATACTATGCAGCACAAGTGAAGAAACAGCACACTTTTACTCAAACATGTATGACCAGAATAATAGTGACAGTGATGACCACTATTCTGTAAGCTCTTGAAACAGTTTGGCAAATACTTAAGAGAATAAAACTGTGATTTCCAGAATGGAGTAACGATTTAGAGTGCCTCGGATTCTGAATGCCCAAGTTGAAGGTCAGTTTTGAGCATTTCAGTTTTTGGCTTTCCAAATCCATTTTGAAAACCTTGGCCCATATTTGTTGAGCCTAACACCTAACTTAGACTGAACGCACTCAAATGTACACTGTACATCAAAAGTAGCACCAAGGTGCAACTCAGATTCATTGTAGAGAATACATTTGTAACTCTGTCCCCAGATTAGGTATACCTAACCTAACACCTATTAAGATAGAAATAGAAAAGTTTAATTTTTCTTACTGCATTGGGACCTACTGGGAAATGCAGCACTTATCCATGAACAAGAGAATCGCTCCTGGTAGGATGTTCCTTGTAATTCAGATTGACTAGTCATAAAAATATGCCAGAGAAATGCAAGTGGAATCCTCAGACTGCACTCCTACTATCCCTGGAGATAGTTTTGTAATATTATGTCTCCAAACCAGAGAAGGAACAAACTGTGCAGAGAGCAGAAGCCCTGCTGTGCATACAACTAATTCCCCACCAGCTGGGTCACAGAATTTCTGAGGTCACAATGGCAAAGCAGGACTGCTAATCTAGGACAAGAATGCATCTGCATCCTGATTGGTAGAGAACGGTGACATCATCATCAAGAATATCCATGTTAGCTGACTACAAGTCTCACATGGAAATCTTTCGTTCAGATTTCTGTCAGCTGGGCCTTTGCTTCTTGCGTTCTGTACAAAAATCCTATTCTGTAAATCGGGCATGTAACTGGGTTTTTTTTCTTTCCAAAATTGTGTCATTTGATATCATCTGTCACAATTGCACAGTATAGTGGTATTATTGTACCTTTGTCTGTTGAATTCTTGAAGCTTACTTTTTAATGTAGGGGCTTAACAAAATTTCAGTTTAATTTCAAGGGTTGTGAACCTTGCCAGTTTATTTCAATCAGTTTTTGCCAGAGGTAAAAACTGGTTAACCACCTGGTGAGAACTTCCAGTTATCCCTTAGGAACCTGTTGGCATTTCACCACAATAATTAGCAACAAGTGATGAAATCTGCAACAGTGGGAGGTGTTGGGTCATAACAGCATTAGCCAGGTGTGATGTGGATGTAAGACCAGTAACAGGGGCTCGAGGGGATGAGAGAATGGTCAACATATGCTTAAAGGTTTGTAACTGGAGAGACCAATCAGAAGATAATGAAAGCAGGAGAGTGAGGGAAAGAGATCAGTAGGAGATGGCTACAAAAATGGAGAGGGGAGATGCTTCCTATCTGGTAGAATGGAATTTCAAAAGGGAAATCTCTTGCTATAGCCAGAGGAAGCCCCATTTGTGATTCTGCATTTCAGGACCACAAGATTGGCCCCACCCCTTGACAGGTGCCTCACCCTGTAATCAGAAGTCCTGCCCCATAACCCCTGACCTTTGCCACCAGAAGTCCCTCCCCTTGCCCCAGAAATATTCTTTTCAGCAAGGGGCTTTGCCAGAAACCAGAAAAATACCAAATTATATTCTAAAAATTGAACATCTACAACACACATTAATTTACTTGCGTTTGTGTAGCGTACAGAGGGGATTGCACAATAGCTTAAAATGAAGTCTTACTCTTAAATTGTGGGGGGCACAGGGTGGTGGGTATAGACTTGTGGGGGGCTGTTGGTGTGTGGGTATATGAGGTGTGGGTGGGTATGGGGTTTGTGGGGGCCTGTGTGTATGGCAGCTTGACGGGGTGATGCATGTGTATGGTGGGGTGTGCATGTGGGACTCACCCCCTATGAACACACACACACCCTCCTGTTCCTGGCCTTGGGGTACCGGCGTGGGGCCGTGCTCCCACAGTCCAGTGACACAGCCTGGGGCCATATGATGCTGGAGCACCCAGTGGGCAGGCAAGGAAGCAGTGAAAGTTGTGGCAGATAGACGCTTCCAGGTGGGGGGACTGGGAGTGGGGCAGGGCTGACCTTGCTACTGAGTCCTGCCAGCTTCCCCTGGGTCCTACTACCCCTGCCTCCTGTCATCTTTGACAGGCAGCCAGAAGATAAATATACATTTTCTAAATATTTTACGGGCCCCATGGGCTGGATAGAATGGCCTGGTGGGCTGGATCTGGCCCACAGGCCATTTTTGCCTGCCCCTGTCCTAAGGGTTCAAACAAAGGGAAGGTAAGAACTCAAGTTTTGCTATAGCTTAGAGGGCCACAGTTTTACATAGGGAGATGCATGCTTCTCTAAGTTCTCCTCCATTCAAAAGATGCAAAAGCAGGACCCCATTTTCCACCATTTATTTACCTGCCTTCTTCACTCCTTAAATATTACTCTAAGCATTTTGTTTTCACAATACTTACCAGCCGATATGAGAGGCAGGGACAGAAACAATAATTGAGCCAGCAGCAGATGAACAGGTCAAATAGCAAGGGGTGCTACATAATGGTTTCCAATCCAGTGCACAGCTCTCCCACAAGCTAGAAAAAATGGCAGTCACACTTTTTCCCATCTGATCTCTTCTTGCTTTCCATCCCTGTGCTCCCTCAAAGGAAATCCATTCACTCATCGTCTCCACTCTTACACAGCTGTAAGTTTGCCCCATTTACTTAGGTGGCTGTCTGGTTCTTTCCACTTATCTGTTATTCTTTATAGAAACCCTGTGCTTTCATCTAAATATTTAAAAGAAATGTAGAGATGTCTGTGGGCATGAAGTTTTGTGCTAGCAGGGGCTGCTTCCAACACAAATCCTCCAAAAGAGGTCCTCATCCATATGTATGTTTTATCTGTGTGTGCACGTGTATATAGAAAATAAATAAAAATATAGGTGAGGATCTAAACATGTACATATAGGTTACATTTCCTTATTTAGAAGTTGCATGGCTTTTTTTTTTTTTAAAACCACATGCACCATGCCATTTCTACATAAGGAAGCTACACACCCCATGACTTCCTGGACAACTGATATAACAGTTTAAAAGATTGCACAATTTTTAGCACCCCCCCCCCCCCCCCCCCCAAAAAAAAATCTAGTGGAGAGAGAGCAAGCCACTAAAAGAAAAAATGTTATTTAAAAAAATCCTGCTTCTCTCTCATTTCCAGAACCAGGTTCATGTAATGAAATGCTGAATGGTTTAAGATGTACTTTAACAATTAATAATTCATAAGCACTGATTAAGGCTTAAGAGTGCTTCAGTTACTCAATACACTTGGACCACTGGTGCTTTTATGAGAATCCTAGGTGTGGTGAGCTACAATAAAGAACAAAAAAATCCCTGTATTGAGTTCTTTACAAAACTGGAAAAGTTCTTTATTCACCTTTTTTCACTTCAACTCTGAATTTTACTCAGCTTGTAGCACTCTCCAAATTTGTCTCAGCAGTCAGGCTCATTTTTAATATTTTTTAAAAGTTGTATTTAAGGTCCGAACACCTAGAAAAAATATTCACATTCAATCACAACTGCAGACAAGTCTATGTAAGTGGAAGTACGGATTGGTTGCAAAAAAATGGAGACAGTTTAGCAGTCTTATTTGTTTGCTTTAAGCAGATGTGTGTCTTGACTCAAATTATCCTTGATCCCCAACTTCAGGATGACTATCCCAAACTTCTACCCCAAAACGATAATGGTTCTTGATTTGACAAGCATGCAACAGAACTAAACTCTTTTTGTACCTAGCCATTTGAGTTTGTTTGATCATTTAAATACAATTATGGTAAAAATGAGAAATTAGCCATGACAAGGTTATAAATACAAAATTTATATGCAATTCCAGTACAAATACCATAGCATAAATCTGCAGAGCTTTTAGTATAAAAAGATAACTTTGCATAACATTTCAATGAAAAAAGCCATATAAACAACAAACATTGTTAAACACGGTTATAACCTAGACAGGGTATTCTAAGACTTACATGCAGCTTTGTATTTTCACTCAAAACTTTGAGAAATACAAGCAAAAGTAGAACAGCCTCATTTGTGCTCAATGTAGGCTTAAATTTTTCACAAGTGACTTACTGTTTTTTTTTTTTAGATGCCTCAATTTTGGGGGGAGAGATTTATGGTGAAGTATCGTAAGGAGGCCCAAAAGGCAATGAACCCTCAACTTCTGAAAGTTGGGCATTCAGAAACCATCAGTCACTTTTGAAAATCTGGATCTCATCCTCAAGACTTAAGAGCACTACATTAAACCTAACAAACATTTTCAGCCAACTGTGAGAAGAACAGCTTCTCGTTAAAAGGCATTCTGTCTATATTCAACACTCAGGGCAAACTGTGCCTCAGGAAAAAAAACAAAATAAAAAACCCCCCAAATGACTCAAAACAGAGAACAGAGTTGATGCCAACAATATTTTGAGTTAGCACAAATGGCAGGTGTCAACCCTTTGGATAATGCAGTAACAGTGCAAGGTTAATACTGTTGTAAACAGCACTACAGCACTATACTCATGCAATTTCAAGACTGACAAACAAGGTATTTTTTCAGTGAAAGAGCATAAATCCTGCAGGGCTCATACCAACACATTTTTATTATTGCACAACGAGCACACCTTTTTTCTCTCATCAAGGAGAAATTTGCCCTTTATAATGCCCCTTTAATAATATCCCTTCTAACTTTAGCCAAACAATAGATTTCCTCCATGACCCAAGAATCATTCATGTTTTATTACAGCATTCTACCTAACATTGACATACAAAAGTAGCATTATTACAGATGATGGGGATGTGAACATTGGTGTAACATTGTGAAAATAAAAATAATCAGTACTTTTAAAAAAAAACCCTTTCAATTTAAGAGATCAATATTGAAATCACAGTATGTGCTTAAAGGCTTGCCATTCAAGAATAAGTTTCCCCCTTGCATTACACCACATGAAACAGAGATTTTACATATTTTCATCCAGATTGGATTTTCACTGAACTCTTAGTAGACCAGCACCCCATCTGCCCCCTAACCCTCCAACAATGACATGCAAAAATGCCCCTTTACTTTATTGAGAGTTTTGTGAGCAGAAAGAGAGAGAAAGAGTTCCAAGAACTACATGCAAGTTTCTGGTGGCTCTCATGATACCCTGTAATACTTACACCTGTATAGTGATAGTACTCCCCACTTAAGATTTAATAACTAATGTGGACACTGATGTTAAGAAATGGGATAACCTTGTAAGGGATAACTTACACTTCCAAGCCTGGATTTTCAAAAATAGGTGCCTGAATTCAGGTTCAGCTTTAAGCACCTCAATTAGAAACAGATCAATGAGTTGGTACATATAGCATTTTTTTTTAAAGACACAGGGAGGTCTTGTATGCTCTGAATTTTAAAAAAACATCAACCTTTAAGCCTAAAAGATGGCTCTAGGAAGCCACCTTTAAGCTTTAGATCTTTGCCAGGCCTATTTGACAGTCTAACATGGATAGCTCGCACCTCATACGACTTACACTTGTTGGGGAACCTCATGCTCCCACTCATTTTTTTCCTATTTTTTAAATGTTCTTTTCCTGCTTTAGCAACTCACACGGAGATAAGAGAAACTTACTGCACTGTGTGGGGGGGAGGGAAGGGAAGGACAGTATATAGAGTTCTGCTAAGTGTGCTAAGTTTTTCCCTGCCTGATAGCAAATGTGATTTACGTCAACTATGTCCCATTAAAAACAGGAGACCTCAGCTGCACTACAGAAGTTTAGGGGATTGTCTCCAGACAAGTCAGGCCATCTGCTCTCATTCTCATTCATCATCTCTCATTTCAGAGCACTGCAACAAAATATTTACTCCCATAACTGCTTAATAAATCTTCTCCAAATCCATGTACAAATCCAAAAAGTTAAACAATAAAGGTAATTAATCTTCATGGTTGTCAGAATACCATAAATACCTGACTTGACCATACTTCTGTCAAGGAGACAATTAAGTACAGGTCCAAATCTGATCTTTACCCTCGAGATTTCAATAAAGCAGTTGTAACTACACTGATGTGAACAATCCAAGATCAGGCCCTATGAACACAACATACACAAGTAAGTATTGAAACCACTTAAGACAGTAGAAAGATTGCTTTCTGCTGAATAAAGTTTGCATTATCAGTGAATCAAGCAACTCAAGACCAAAACTGACTAGGCTCAAAAAAGAGACCTTTGTGCACATGCAATATCCCTTGTCTAACACAAGGAGGCAAACGCTCTTTATTCTTGGAAAAAGAAAATGGAGCAAAGCTACTTAACCAGGTTTATGCAATAAAAGGGGAGGGGGGGAATACAACCTCAAAACTTTGCTTCTTATGCAATCTTGATCAATACACTACCAAAATTGGAACGTTCAAGATTTCATATTCAATCCCTTACTGTAAATCAAGCCAACTGGAACAAGGGAAAAAAATGATTTACTGAATAAACTACAAAGCATGAGGGGCTGTCAGCAAATTAGCTTAAGAGCCATTTTCACTTTACACAATTCAAAACAGCCCCAGATAGATTAAAGAAAAGAGTACAACCAAAAAGCTATTTCTTTCATTCCCTGGTGTGTTTTTTTCCACTATTTCTGCCACTAAAGCCAGCACACTAAGGGGAAAACCATGAGAAGCGTTTTAGTTAATAATATTAAAGTAGTCCTAATTCTGCCAAAGAACTACTCTGGACTGGGAATGGCCAAAAAATAAAAAACAAAAACAAAAAAAAAACCCTACAGTTCTCTGCATATGGCTAGCTTTTAGGGTGTACTGGTTTAGAAAGGAATATATTTCATGGTAATATCTTAAAAAATGAAAGGCTACACTTTGGCAAAAATTCCCTCTTCTTATCCTCTTACTACACTATTTTATTTATTTTTAGAACTCCTGAGGTTCAAGCTTGTCATATTAAGCACACAGTCCAAAAAAATCCTAAAACAAAAGAACAATTTGGGTTATGAGACAATGACAACTATCTGAACCCCTCGGGTATTAAAACCACCATCTGAAATAAGTCTGACTTCTGCGTTATGCCTCTGAATACATAATCAAGATCTGAAAAGCTTTGGGGCCCCACTTCAAGCACAGCACAAAAACCAGTCACTGTTATAACACTGTGGCATATTTTCACAATAAACTTTCAAAAGAAAGAAAATGCAATAAAAAAAGGTGCTTCAGTTGAGAGCAATGAAAACAAAACCACCAGACAAAGAGGTTTTAATGGAAGATGACTAAGGTGCTCCTTTTGCTACTTCATGGTGTGGCTGCTGTTCTCATGACATTTGAGGAAAATAAATACTTCAAATGGAAGAGTCAGACTTCTACTAAGCTACTTCAGGGCACTTCCAGTTAATGCAGGTAAGTGAATTCAAATTCGTATCAACATTAACAGCAAGTCCCTCGTTCAAGTGTTCATTTCCCCTTCCTCTCATACATTTCTAAACATATCAAATTTTACTTATGAGTGATTGTCATGGCTAATGTATTCTATAAAAAAAAGTCTGGACTGGAAGTTTATGAACAAGTACTGGTTTCAGAAAGAAAAGAGCCTGCTCAGGCAGAACAGAGGTTTTGCTTAATGTAAACATAAAACATACACCAAGTGTTTAGCTTCAGCTGCAGACCAAAAGGCCTGATACTTCTTTGGTCCACGTTTAAGGAAACTGCCACCAAGGGAACTATGGTCCGCTATCAGCCTCCTGGCTTTTACGCTGCCTTACTGAGCTCTGGGTCTCTGGATCAGCTGGAAGTTGTTCAGAGATGTCTTCTATCTCTTCTGTCCCTGACCCTTCATCAACTGCAGAGTCTTCTTCTGAACCATCAGCACTTGAATGAGCCCCATCTTCTCCATCTGAAAGGTCCTTCTTTTCATTCTCAGCTTCTTCTAACTCATCTGCTGAAAGCTCTTCAGCCTCTTCCTGCTCTTCACCAGTAGTGTGCTCTACATTCTCCTTTTCAGTCACTTCCACTGAAACAAAAACAAGAAGTAGAAATACTGAAATCCTAATGACAGCTCATCAGCTAATAAGTTCAAGGAAAAAACCGATACTGTTGTAATTCTGGTGTAGCATTTAAGGGTGTGTGCAAAGGAAATGGAGGCCCCTAAACTGAAGTGGTGGGTTTTTAAAAACACCGCTTCAATTTAGGGCCTTTTAAAACCCCATGTCGTGTACAACAGAACTTATCTGCTGCTCCAGTGGTGGGGAGGGGAGGGGGAGCTACCGGCAGGAGGAGCAGTCCCTGGGCTGTGAGGGGCTGGCTCCTGCTTCCCCCTGTGGCAGCGGCGCCCTCCTGCAGCACTCACTTGCAGGCACTGAGCTCCGGAAGTCCTGGGGTGGGGGGCACCACAGCCGCAGAGGGAAGCACTGGGCCCTCACGCAGCTCAGGCAGGCAGGCTCCAGGGAAAATAAAGATCAGGCTCGCCTCTTTTCTTGGGCAGAGCCTACCTTCCCAGGCTGCTGCCAAGCTACCTGCACGGGCTTCCTGCAGAGCTGCATGAAGCCTGGTGCTTCGCTCTATGGCTGTAGGGCAACAAGCTGCTCAGGGGAGTTTTAGTTTGCTGTGCCCCAAGTCATTTAAGGCTCATTAAGCCACCAAATTTGCTACAGCAGCTGGAATTACTGCACAATACACCACTGATGCATGCAAACGCCACCACCATTTAAGTGGTGCAAAAGCATTTAACCCACTTTAAAGTGTTGTGCACACATGTCCCTTGTTTTGTCTACTCACAGCCATTGCATTTTCATCATTTTTTTTCATTGTATTCTTAAATTTTGGTGTAATCTCTCCCGTTTTAAAGTTTGTTTTCCTATCTGGCAAACATTTGTTTTTGTTTTGTTCATAGTGGATTACAAGCTAACAGAATAGCCTCTTGTTTTTTTTTTTTTAAGTTAATTCCTTAAATGTAAACCATTATCCTAAAAAGTCAGCAGGAACATAAGCAGCTCTTGGAATCCTTTTTGCCAGATAATTGCTGCAGTTGTGCCAACTCATAAAGCAGACAAAGCATACATTTGTGTAGATCCAACATAACTAGAGTCTCTTTTCCATTACCAAGAATGATACAACTCTTAATAGAATTTTGTACACAAAGCCTATTCCCCACACTATGCAAATTTTGCTTTTGGCCAAAGTTGGGTCTAATGACTTGGCTGCATCACTTTAAAATGATGCATCAGACTGACAGGGTCTTTGTTTCCAATACTACTGAACCAAACCCAAATATCTGCCAACACATGGTTTCATTCCCATAATTTCTATAAAATTACAGTTTCTTTGCCTCCAAGTGATAAAACTACACCAAAATAATAAGGTTCTTGGAATATGTTTGCCCAGAATTAAACACAAACCTGAATACTTATTTCTGCTGGTATATCAATTGGGACAGATTTTTTCTTATTCATAATTGTGCCTCCTGTGCTTACAGGGAGAAGAGCCTTGCTCTGAGATTCTTCTTACTGACAACATGGCAGGACTGGGTCTCGTTTAAATTGTAGGAAATACAAAAGACTTTCCAAAGCCCATTTCCTATCCTCAGATGCAAACAACATGTCTGGCAAAGCCTATGGAGCAGTCTTTATATAATCAGCAGAGAGAATGATAGATACAGACAGAGAGCTAATCAGATGATTAAAGGTACAGTTTGTGTGGTAAGACAGATGGTTCTAATGGACTCCAAAACTGCTTAGCGCCAGTCTTCCATCTACCATGCACGCACCAAAATAACCTCCACAAACATTTTACATAGCAAATCTGTTTACATTACATGAACAAAAATAAGTAAAATTCTCATTTTGAGAAGTTGAATTTGAGAGAATGAGCTCAACTCTACTAAACACTAGAAGTTATTAGACTGCAACTGCAAAAAACTTCAATTCTGGTGCTCCCAGAAAAGCAAAAAAAATTGCCTAAGCAAACTGATCACAAACTACAAATTGTATCTTTTGCCTTAGCAACTTCAAAAAACCCCAATAAAACACAACCTGCAATCCCCACAAACATACAATTCTGAAGTACTGCACAGAATCATATAGACGCAAGGCAGGGTCAAATTAAGGTGAGCAGTAGGACTGAGGCCATCACCACTGCTTTTCCCTGCTGCTAAGCATCACTGCAGCGCAGGGACAATCCCCCAGGTAGCTAACAGCAGCACAGTGCAAGGAGAGCTCCCCTGGAGGCTGAATGCTACTAGCCCATGGGCTGTTGGCTGCTGATCTCTGTACTGGATTACATAATATGCCTGATTGTATACAGAATGTGTGTTAGGAAGCACAGGCGTCTGTCCCACCTGAGAACAAAATATTTTCACCTCTCTAGTCATAAAGCTAGAGAGAAAAAGTGCAATCTGGAGACCCAAAGTATTTCCAGGTCTCCACTGGTTTTCCATGCCATACCCCACTTTCCCCATCAGTAAAAGGAGTTTTGCCATTTTCCCCTTACAAAGTTATATGTCAAAGTTAACTGGTGTTTGTAAAGTAATTCAAGACCATCAAACTGAAAAACCTGATGTTTATATTTCCCGTTGTGGAAATACTGTGAACAAGTGTCAGACATCTTTGTAGGACAGTGGTGCCCAAGCTTTCCGGCACACAGGCTGGCTGAGTGGGTTAGGGATGTTGTAGGAAACACTCAGAGACATGTGTCACTTACTCCGTTGCCATAACGCAAGCTAAAAAAAAAGAGAGAGAGGCTGCTGACATGTGGACCGCCCCCCCAAAAAAACAAAACAAAAACCCTATGCTTTACTGGAAGAAGCAGCACATTAGTTCGAACCAGCTCCGCAGCATTTTTATAGATCACACTCTTCATATGGGCTTTTTGGAGCTTTTATCTAAAGCTGATCCAATCAGCTACTAGATAAGAGAGCCAGAAAAAAGCCCTGCTGAAGCACCCACTCTCTATAGACATTGGAGATGTTGGGTCAAACTAACGCGATGCCTCTTCTGGGCACGCACTGGGCTCAGCGCAGGGGTGTGCCGAGTTTAAAGTAAAGTGCCAGTTTTGTGTTTTTACATCTGTAAGCAGCCAACTAGAGCCTTCTGGTCAATGAGATATATACTAGTAGATAAATATCACCCCAAAGGTCTGTTTATGCACTCGAAGTACTTACCAGAGGTTTCATCTCTGTACCTTGATTTGGCTGGGCAAAGACAGTCTGATATCAAAACCAGGATCTGAGAAAAAGGGAAATGTAGTTCAGTGATCAATCAATAAACACTGCACTGCTATCCAATTTGTATTTCTACAATATAGCATACTTATGCTGAAAATTATTCTTGTTCCAAGTTCATTAATGTAAGAGAAATGCACCATCCGGCAGAGAACAATTTGTTGCTGTACAACTCCTCAGTAGTGCATGACAATTATATCAATTACTTGACCATTTTAAGCTTATTTTATACTGAAGGTACAACCCTTTTATCAATTCAGTTATAAGGAAAAACTAGAATTAACACACAGAATAGACTGTTAGACTAACAAGCCAGATGCTAATTAACTTAGTAACAGACATTATGCAAATGCTAATTAACTTACTAACAGACATTATGCAGATAGTCTATAATACAATTAATTCACTTCTCGCATGCTTATATTGCATTTTATAAACTATTAATATACCCTTAAAAAAAAAAAAAATCAAGTGACCATTAAAGGATTATTTCAATATGTTGCTGTTACAGTCTTCCAAATCAGAAGTGTAAAAAGATAGCTACACAAAATCTAATGGCACATGACACTTGGTTTGTTTTCTAAAGCAGGAAAAATAATGGCTCTGGTAAACTTTTAGTAGCTACCAAATAGCATCACAGCCTTCAATGGGAACTGCACTTAAAAAGTCATGTTCCTCTTTTCCCATCTTAGCCAGACTCCCAAATAGCCCCATGTCACTACAAGCAGAAGGCAAAGACGTGCCTAAAATGGTAGGTAGCTGCTATCACCCCAAAATTTGCCACAGTCCCCACAACCTGCCCTTCCAGTGCTCTTGCCAAGCACCAGGAAGAGACTGGAGCCGCCACCAACCCCAGCCTGCAGCTGTAGCCTGCTCTCATCCTGCACACAGATCCAGGGGCATGCACCCCTCAAGAAGAGCCCGGCGCAGGCCCCCAGCCTGTAGCCCTCCCAGAGTGTATGTAACCAGAGCCGCACCCCCCCATGCCACACCCTGAACCCACTGACAGTTCTCTCACTTTCCTCCCTGCTGCAGCTCCAAGCCTCTGCTTCTCCCCACTCACCCCAGCCCCAGGAGCAGCCAACGCCAGCTGCCTACAGCTGCTGCGCTGCCTTGTGCCCCGAACCTCCCGGGGCTCGACCCATCCCCACTTATCCCAGCTCCTGCTGCACCAGATCTGGGAGCAGACAACACCAGTTGCCTGCACCACGGCACAGCACGGATCAGGAGCTGGGGTGAATGAGGACAAGCAGAGCCCCAGGGAGTTCAAGGTACAGTGCAGCCCAGTGGCTGCAGGCAGCTGGTGTCAACTGCTCCCAGAGCAGCTTCTGCAGGGCTTGGGGTGAGCCCCATGACCCTTCCCCTCCCCCCACAGACTTACCTGCTGGGGAGCAGGGGTGCCAATGCCAATCACATGATAATTTACCTCGCATGTAATAAATGTTGGACACAACAGCTCATTCGTATTTGCAGAACCCACATAAAATCGAGGGAAACCTGTATTTTGAGTGATATCATAATTGTGCTATAAAATTACAAACCAGCCACAATTCTATGAATGTGTGGCTAGTTGCTATTCCTTGCACAATAAAGATCTTAAATCGTGCCAGAAGCATAACATGTACCAGGGACCTGAAGGGCCACTCCTTAATTAAGGACTTATTCTGTCAGAATTAAGGTCTGCTGTCTGAACCACTCCAATCAATTTTTTTGCATCAAAAACACCAAAGCAGATGTCCAGTCCACAGCCATTAGCTGACTGACTACTGAGCATGCAAAATGATTCATGTAATTCTGGTACAATGGCAAAAGCTAGACCAGCATGATTGCTCCACTTGCCCACTTTCCTGAGGACAAAACACTCTGGAGAATAGCATAGCTTCTCTCCCACCCCCTGAAAAGCAGTGCAGATCCAATCTGCAAAGGAACCTATTAGACACGTGGTCTATAGAGCTGAAAACAGCATAAAAATAAGATACCCCTGTGGTGTCACAAGAAGTTGCCCCTTGGTAAAATTGAGCCAAATTAAAGCAACAATGGAACCACGCTGTAATCTGTCAACTCTCTTAAACCACTTTTAAGTTCATGCTTTTGTAGAAGCTTTGGCTATAAAATGCATGTTGCATTTTGATCAAATAAATTTAGTTATGCTCAATGCATTTTTATTACAGTTGCATGCAATCTACCTGAACTTCTACCAAGTATCATTAGGAGACTGAAAGATGGAGATAAATGCTCAGTAAATCAACCATGTGGTTGACAACTGGTTGCATAAAACAGACCTTTGATAGTGTGCTTTAGGGCCTTTGTTTAAATTTCTTTGAGAAAAGCCTGATTAAGTAGCGCACTGAAGAAACTAAAAAAAAAAAGATTCTTGCATAAGTTCACCTTTCCCCCTCCCACTTCATTTCTGTTTATTGAGCAGATAGTTTATCATACTTTTTCTGCATTATGGGGCAACATTCAGTGATCTGAATCCTCTTTTCAGCCACAGAATCAAAAAAATACAACCCAGTAAGTATATGCTTCTGGTTTAATAGAAGCATCACTTGCAAATGAATGAAAATAATTCTTCTGCTCCATTCAGCACTGGTAAGGCTCTACCTGGAGTTCAGTGTCCAGTTTTGGACCCCACACTTTAAGAAAATCATGGACAGTTTGGAAAGAGTTCAGTGCAGAGCAACAAAAATGATTAGGGACTTGGGAGGCAAGACTCATGAGGAAAGGCTGAAAGAGCCAGGGTTATTTCGCCTGGAAAAGAGAAGACTGGATGAGTAATTTGATAACAGTCTGCAAATATCTGGAGGGCAATTACAAAGAGGCTGGGGATGGCTTTTTCTCTGTTGCCATACGGGACAGGACCTGGGAAAAAGAGTACGACATTAAGCTTCAGCAGGGGAAATTTAGGTTGGAGATTATGAGGAATTTGGATTTTGAGGGTGGTCAGGCATTGAAATAGGCTATCTAAAAAACCTGTGAAACCTCCATCCTCAGAAATTTTCAAGAGCAGGTCAGACAGATGCTTGGCTGAGATGGTTTAGTCAGGGATAATCCTGCCTTGAACTGCAGGCTGGACTAGGTGACCTTGTGAGGTCCCTTCCAGGCTTACTTTCCTATGAACCCTCTGATCAACAGCTTCAAGGAGGAACACATTTTCACCTGTAACCATCTATATGCCCATCCTCATCCAACTTTCTTAAAATTAGTGCCGTGTTGATTTTTATCAATGCTACAGAGGTGCCAAACACGTTGGCCTGCAAGATGAATATGGTCTGCCAAGCTCCTGGAGGGGCAGAGAATTTGGTGGCAAGCTGAGAGATGGTGGCATTAATCCCTGCAGTTCCCCGAGTCAACACAACAGCTCAGTCACCCACAGTGGTTTATGATGCCGCTGCCACCACAATCTCCTGGCTCAGTTGGTCTGTGAGTCTTGCTCCTCTGACCTCTATTTTTAGCCAGAACTGTTTCGTAAAATTTGACCAAATTTTGTGAATAGTCTTGAGCGACTTAAGCCAAACTTTGGCCAAACTATTCAACAACAAGAATTCACCCACGCCCAGCTGCAACTTTCCTGTGAAGTTTATGGTCATAAAAAGAAAGCAAAAAACCCCCAAGAACAAATTAAAAAGTCAAAGAGCAAAAAATTTTCTTTTATTATTTATTTATTTTTTTGCAAATTTTGAGTTGTCAAATATGCATTGAGAATAGTCCTGAATTAATTTTCCACTGAAAGACCTGGAACAGGAACGTAATGATCATTGAGGCATTTCAAGGATGGCACATCTGTTCCAGACAACTATAAATATAGTGTCCATGGAGATTTCCATAATTTGTTTCTGTGCCTTCTCAATAATTGTCTCAGTAAATTTGCTGGACAGAAGACAGAGGTGCAAGGTTAATATATGAGAAGGCTACAGATTTGGAAGCGCTAAGCAGATTTTTTTCTTCTTTTTTCTTTATATTTTCCACCTTTTTCTCTTGAGATTCTTCTGCTCTTAACAGAAACACTAAATGAGTGAAGTCCATGCTTTCAGTCTGAAGGAGCTAAAAGTGCCAAAGGGATGTAGAAAAAGCCAAGTCATTTATACTGACTGACATTGCCCTGCCTCTTGCTTCCTTTGTGTATGCTGCATTGAAGCGCCTTAAGGTATAAAAGAAAAACCCCCCAGCAACTGCCATTTAAAGTACTGAGGCTCTTTGCTTGAGGGGGGAGTAAGGAGGGGAAGAATTTTAGGGAGTATATTTCTTTTCAACTTAAAGTTACTGTATCCCCTGGACAATTATCTGGCTTGTTTTGCATAATGTGTATTCTGGCTACTTAAACAGGCTTTGCTATGGGAAGATAATGTAACTTGAAATGAAAAGACCGTCTTTATCTCCATTTGCCTGCAAGTATTTAAGATTCTAGCACATCCCAAAATGGTAAGAAAAACTTAAAAAAAAAAAAAAGCAGCAAAGAATGCTGCCTTACAGGGAAATAGATCTCAGGCACCCAAAAGTGGAGTTTCCCCATCCCCTACAAGTAAATGCCAAGAGATAAGCCAGGAGTTGGCAATGAGGGCCACTTAAGGAGTTTTGGTGAGCTGTTGTGGGCCAGGGTGCAAGGGAATGGGGGAAGCAATTGATTCTATCCAGCCCTGGGCCCATCTGCCCCACACCCACCGCTGGGGGCACTGGACTGAACTGGTGGGTCTCCATGGAGACCAGCCTGGGACCCCCATAGGCAGGACACTGCTGGGCAGATGGAATGGGGTTGCAGGCAGGCAGAGAGTGGCATCTGGGAGTTGGATGGGTCTGGGACCAGTATTACAGGGAGGTGACGGTATGAGGCCGCTTCCTGCAGGTCCCTGCCATAGGCACCAGTTCCATGGCAGAGACCTGAGGGGAGCAAAATCACAGCTCTGCCCCAGGTCCTGATCCCATGCTGTCACCACCCTTTGGTCCTGGCCCCAGCCCCTACCGATCTGTCCCGCTTGCAGATGCTGCTCCTCACCCACCCACAAC